TTTTTATACTCTGTAGTGAGGTCCTTTCTGGCCTTTGCAGCAAAGCGCAAATCGATGGCATTCTACCTGGGATTAGAGTAGCTTTGGGCAGTCCAAGAGTAAACCACTTGTTATTTGCCGACGACACTATGTTCTTCTGTAGATCAGATGAGCAAAGTTGTAAAGTCCTACTTCAAATCCTTCAAAGATATGAATCTGCTTCTGGCCAAATGATCAACAAAGTAAAATCAGCCATTACCTTCTCAGCAAAAACTCCGGAGATCATAAAAGAAAAAGCTCATCAAACCCTTGGTATGCAACATGTTGGGGGTTTAGGTAAGTACCTGGGGCTCCCTGAACTGTTTGGGAGAAAGAAGAAGGACATGTTTAATTTGATTATCGACAGGATACGACAGAGGGCATTGAGTTGGTCCTCTAGATTTTTGTCCACTGCTGGGAAAGCCACAATGCTGAAATCTGTGCTGGCTGCTATGCCTACCTACACCATGTCATGTTTCAAAATCCCGGGCTCTCTCTGTAAACGCATCCAATCTGCCTTGACCAGATTCTGGTGGGACTCCTCTGCAGATAACAGGAAAATGTGTTGGGTTTCTTGGATGAAACTAACTCAAGCAAAAGAGGCTGGGGGTCTTGGTTTCAGGGACATACCTAGCTTTAATGACGCGCTGCTGGCAAAGGTAAGCTTGAGGATTCTCAAAAATCCCTCCTGTCTACTGGCCAAAATCCTCTTGGGTAAATATTGTAAGTCTTCTTCTTTCCTGGACTGTGTTGCATCTGGCTCAGCTTCCCACGGATGGAAGGGTATCTGCATTGGCCGTGACTTACTAAAAGTCCATCTTGGGAAGGCCATTGGGTCTGGATCAAATACTCTGTTGTGGTACGAACCATGGATTTCGCTGTCAAAGCCGATCACTCCCATGGGACCACCAACAGAACCTGGCCAGAACCTGAAAGTGGATCACCTTATCTGCCCTGTTTCAAAAAGTTGGATTAGTGAGAGAATCAAAACTCTCCTCCCAGAGTATGAGCAAGAAATACTATCCCTCAGACCAAGTAAATCAAGATCAGAAGACAGCCACCTCTGGTTGCTCACTAAGAATGGTGATTACTCTACAAAATCTGGGTACCAGGCAGCGTCTATGCTAAAGGAAAAACTGGTATTTCATCGTGAAGATTCAAGTAACTTTAATTGGTTCAAGTAAATTTGGAACATCAAATGCGCTCAAAAGATCAAGTTTTTCCTATGGAAAGCCATGAATGCAGCCTTACCTGTTGGAGAACTCCTCAAATCGCGTGGAATCAACACGTCTACCCTTTGCCCACACTGCCAAGAGGAAGAATCCAGCCTCCATATGTTCTTCCATTGCCCTTTCGCGAGAAAAATCTGGGAGTCAGCACCTTTTAAAACCCCAATCTTCCCTTTGCGAATCCAAAGTTTACAACTGGGAATTGAAATGTCAAGGCTGCTAGTGAATCTACCCCCTACGGGATTGGGGATGAAGCCACTTGTTCCCTGGATCCTTTGGACCATTTGGAAAAGTAGAAACAAGAGAATCTTCGATCAAACCCAGATCTCGCCCTTCGAGGCTCTCTCCCAAGCCATTAGTCAAGCCCGAGAATGGAGCGAAGCGCAAACCGTAACCATCTCAAGCCCCAAACCAGCTGCCCATTCTCTGGTTCCTGTTTCAAGTGCAGACACAGTAACCTGCTATACAGATGCGGCTTGGCGAGGAGATTCTAACGCTGCGGGTTTTGGGTGGACAATCAGGGACCATCTCTCAAACTCGGAGATCCAGAACAGCTTCGCAGCACCGAATGTCAACTCTCCCCTTATGGCGGAGGCAATGGCTCTTCTCCTTTCTCAACAACAGGCCCTAGATCTAGGGTACAAAAAACTTCTTATCGCTTCAGATTCGCTTATGCTGATCAAAGCTCTCAATTCAGAGTCCTCTTCTAAGGAGCTCTACGGGATTCAACAAGACATCCTTTCGCTAGCTTTAAATTTCGATGAAATTTCTTTCCATTTTGTTCCTAGAGAGTTAAACAATCGAGCAGATGCGATCGCAAAATCTGCTCTTACGGCATTTATTGTATCGGCCTCTGGTTTAGTTTGCAATTAATGAAATTCCCCTTTTGACAAAAAAAAAAAAAAAACAAATTGGCTTTCTTTTTTTCGTGCATTTCTAATCAAGTGTATATTTCTTTCCCCTTTTGAAATTGTAATTGTTTGGGAGAATTTTTTCCGTTTCGTTCAAAGATCTTAGTTTGATTAATCGAGTACGGTAGGAACAAACAAAAAACGAAATCTTGAATTAATGAACAAGATTTAGGTTTTTGCTTCTTCTCGGGATTTCGCTAAGATTCTCTTTAATAAGTTTTATCTTCTCCCCTTCTCCGTTTGCCCCATTCTCGGATTCCTCTCACACCGGGGCAAGTAAATAAATGACTTACGTTCTTCGGCAAACATCTTTATAATGCAACATTTTCCTCTAAAATCAGCCATATACATAACCCATATGGTATTACAATTAATATTTTACATGTTATAACTTATAAAATTAGAAAACATACAATTTTGAAGAAATCAACCGACTATATAAAATCAAAAAATAAACATAACTCAGATTTGAGTATAGCCATCTTCATCGCCGATATCAATTTGTATCTTCATGTGAATACCACGCAACTTATACGACGGAATCAACATGAATGTATCTTTAAGTTGTTCTTCTCGTTCACTCGCTTTATGAATATTCTTCATCCGCAGTCCAGTCTTAGTGTGCTATATACTGTTTGAGTTTGGCTAGATTGCAAGAGAATTTGAGCACTTGCGGAGCGATATATACAATAAACCCCGACCGATCGATGAAACGTTGAACTACATTTATATTACTCTCTTTCACTTCTTGAAAATTGACCACCTTATCATCACATATAATAGAACGGTCGAACACAAACGCAAATAGAACCAATGAGGCATTGGCATGAATACATGACATTATCTAAACAAACATGCAAATGATACAAATCAATAACCGGGAATGATGTGAGTAGAGAGTGAAGGCGTAACATTGAGATAAGAACCTACCTCAGGCAATAGTAGTATAGTACCCAGGAGAGGTACCTTTCTAAATTACAAACAGAATACAAAAGCAAACTTTGTGAACTTTATGGGTTCAGTTCATCATCCAACCCATAATTCAATCTTTTATTGGCTGTATTATATGACCATATTAACCGTGACAATCCCACCCATCGTATCTTTTACACCGGATTACATATTTCCATTAGCCAAGCTAAACATGGACTATGGGTTAAAAAGTCCATGCAAAAAATATGATTGGAGAGAACATCAAGTTATTATGGTTCTATAATTGTCAATTCTAGACTATAGTTGCCCGATGAATTGAGCGGAAAGCACATGCATCATTTGTAACAGAGTAGTTTACAAAAACTTTCTTATATTTTTATTTATAACTTACAAAGAGAGAGTCAAAGCTTAAAACAATATCGAGATAGAAAAAAATTACCTCAAACTATAGTACAAAATTTGGGAATTTCTCGTTTAGCTCATCGGTCAACCCATAGTCCATGCTTAACTCGGCTAATGGAAAGATGTTCTTTAGCGTAAAAAGCATGACACGAGAGAACGCCAAATTATTATAATTATATAATATAGCGCCATAATATAGTTATTCATGAACAACAAATTGGCTATATTATATGACCATAACAGTTTGATGCTCCCTCACTTCGTGCTTTTTGCACTGAAGAACAATTAACCATTAGCCGAGCTGCTAAGCCTGGACTATGGGTTTGCAGATGAAAGAGAGTCAAAGCGTAACAATATCAAGATGAGAAATTACCTCAACATATAGCACCATTGTGAGGTATCATGGTAATATACAAATAAAAATACAAAACAAATTTGGTAAACTACTTGGTTATAACATTTGTCGAATTTCCTGTCCAATTCATTTGCTAATCCACAGTCCATGTTTAGCTCAACTAGTGGAGAGATGTTCTTTCGCGTAAAAAGTTTGACACGAGGGAACATTGAGATGTAAAACCAACATTGTTATTTATTATCTAACATAGAAAATGCAAAAGTACTACTCTAGTAGAACTTATCAACTTAAATGAAATATCAAAACAAACAAAATACCTTATCAACTCAATGTGGAAGTCAATATTACATTTTAGAAATCAAAAAAATATTAGTACATTTTAAAATTAAAAAATACATGAATGAAACTAACATAACGGTATCATGTAACTATGTGAATATATATAAGGCAAGAGATTGTATTTTCTTTAAAAAATTCATTAACTATTATAATTATTCATTCCCAATCTATGCTCATTTCAAATATACTGATCAAAACAATTTCCAAAATCAAAATATTTCCAGTGAAATACCGTTATAATTATTTTTTTGATACGACAGGAAATTAAGATAAACCCATATAAGCACCTAACCACAAAGATAAATTTAAATTTTTGAACTTTCGTATATAGATAGTGCTTTTTGTTGGCACACTACAAGAAAAATCAACATTGTTATCACGAGAGAAACGCTATAATATGTCATTGATAGCGTTTTCATAAACGCTGTTTCTGCCCCAGTTATGGTAGGTGTCACACATACAATAGCGTGTTTTTTGTATGCTATGTTAGAGACTTCTACCATAGCTCTAAGAAAACGCTTTGTTTTAATTCGTTAAATTTTGTTTTTAATTATGTAATAAGTTATTATTCATGCTATGTTATGTAGCGCTACCATAGCTATATTGAACAGAGTTACTTTAATTTATTATAGCTGTATGTTATGCTGTAATATATTATATCATAGCGCCTATTTAGTTTGTAAAATTTATGTAATTACTCAGTTTGACAGCTACGATAGATGATTTTACCATAGCATTACTAAAATATTACATGACACTGATTTTAATTTTTTTTTTGGATGCTATTGTACTTGTTTTCATGACACAACCGTGTTTTATAAAAGTACTGACAATCCCCATTGATAACAATCCAACATCCATATATTACAGAAGCCCAAACACAGAATACAAAAAAAAGTCTCATGTCCAAGGAGAAGTTGTACCAAAAGCAGCATTGAATACTAAACACAGAATACTAAATTAAACCAAGTCTCATGTCCAAGCAGAAGTTTAACACATGATCACCTTGTCATCTGGCCATGCAAGAGTTGTGCCAAATGCATCTTCCAAACTCACAATTTCATCAGATGGCCTCCAAACTGCTGCATCACTTACCTTCACGATATCTACCCACACCTTAACTCCATTAGAACCCAAGGGAACAAAATGGACCTTCATATCTGGGTCATTTGAAACCCATCGTCCTTCAGCAACTACCCGCTTCCTTCCGGTAATATCCATCAGCTTGCACTTCTTATTCTCCTTTGAAACAACTTGATTACTAATACGCTGCCAATATAAATAAACCAACAGTCAGAAGACTAAGCATAAGCAACTTAATAACATATCCAAAACATCTACCTGAGATTTTCGAAGAGGAGACTGTGAATCTGGAAGAGTTTTCTTCATTGGAGAGCTTGTACCTGTTGCATCCTCAATAGGAGATTCAGAACCTGTACCTGTTGTAGATTTAGGGCCTGATGTTGCAGATTTTGCACCTGCTACAGATTTAGAACCTGATACAGTTGCTGCAGAATTCTGAAGAGGAGATTTGTGACCTGTTGTTGAATTTTCAAAAACAACTTTACTGACAGGCCAAGATACAAAAGCCATAACACAGTCCTCAAGGTATGTCATTTCCATGGTAGGCCTCCATATAAAAGTTTCAGGCTGATGGACTTGATCCACAAATACTTTAATTGCCTTTGGTCCGAGAGGGAGTCCATTAACCAATGCGCTTGGTTCTTGTGTCTGCCAACGACCTTCAGCAACAATCACTTCATCGCTAGACAAATCTAGTAGTTTGCATTTGTTCAGAGAATTTGTTCTAAGACCCTATCAAACGGTTTCAAAACAGAAATTGAATCAGTATATTGATCATGATTCTATCTATCAAGTAATATGGTTCTAGCTGAAAACTAAAATTTACCAGAGGCGCAATATCTTCTATTTGGATGTCCTTGTCAACTAGAACACACTTAGAGGCTGGCCAAGCAATTATTTGTCCAACAGCTTCCTCAACCGTGAACATGTTACTTGCTGGTCTCCAAAGGAATGCATCTGGATTTGTTGTCAATGTTGGAGCATCACTACCAACCAGCTCAGCTGCCTTTTTCTGCAAACAAAAAATACAGATTCTGAGTCTAACATGTAAGAGAACCAAATTCAAATACACATTCTGTGACTAATTTGCAACTTACAATCTTCTCAGCTGCATTCGTATTCACTGGCGTACCATCTTTTTTGGTACGCGACTTGACCCACACCTTCAGCCTAGTCACTTCTGATGGATCTCCACTTTCAATTTTCTGGAAAAAAAGGTAAAATATCATTAAGGGTATATGGTATATAACTGTAAACTTACAAGTAGAAATATGCTTACCATATCCTCTGCTAGTCTGACCATTCCTTTACGACTAGTAGTGTGAGGAATCTGTTTCCTTCTCCTTTCTTTATATTTATCACTCACAACCTGATAATTAAACATGTTAATCACCAACAGACCATCAAATAAACATAACAGTTGAAATCAATACCTTAAAGCTTGCACTTGTTTTGATTTTCACAAATTTCTGCCAATCAGCTGGATTAATATTATTTGGTCTCAGATTCATCCTCTGTTGGTTATTAGTAGCCCCATTAATGTCCCTCACTATGCGGGATTTGTATGATCTCCACAAATTTCCCATTTGCTTTAGCACAGCAACCTTTTGAAACTCTTCATCCAGCTCAAATCTTGCCTGCATTCACTTGCCAAGAAAACATGTAAAAAACTTAAACTGCTCTTAAGTTATGGAAAAAAGAAATGCTCAAATTGGATAGAAAACATTACCTGAATAGATTTCCAGAGAACAGTTTTGATTTCTTCGCTAACATTCTTCCAAGTATCAATTGTGATTGGTACATGTTCCCGTACCAATGGACCTACATAAGATGACAACTTCACTGATCCCGGACCATAAGGATCTCCCATGAGAGTGTAGTCAACTCTTTCTCGAACATTTGGATCCTTTGCGATGTTTTTCATCTTTGTTGGTCCTCTATGTCTCTTGCGCTTAGCTGGACGCTCATTCTCATCTGTCAACTCAAGCTCACCTTCAGCTTCTTCCTCATTGTTAGCAGTCACTTCAGCTGCTTCAGTCACGTCTACATCTGATCTATGCTCTTCTTCTTGTACTTCAGCAGCTTCAGTCTCTTGTTCTCCTTGTACTTCAGCTGCCTCAGTCTGTGGTTCCACAGTACATATAAATTCTGGTTCATCAGTGTCTTTTGCAGCCTTACTTTTCTTTTTTTGTCCACCCTTCTTATTTGGACGCCCCATATCAGTTCACCTGCATGTAAGAACAATAAATTAGAACATGTTGATGCTGATAAAATACATTTAACAGAAAATCTAAATGACAGTGATGTATAATAAAGACTAGGCATACACCAGACAGAGTATAAACAAGACAAGCTGAAAATGAACAAGAAGCTACATTTGACACATATATGCCTTCACAATCAGTTCTAGCATTTTCAGCTTCATCCATCTCAAGATCCATGTCAACATCTGATGGCAATGGTCCAATATCTGCATTTCCGTCTTCAACATCTTCCTTACTGTATCTTCTTGAAGAACCTTTCATGACAACATACCAACTTGATGAATCATCTTCTCTTGAATAAAACACTTGTTTTACCTGAGAGGCTAATATGTATGGATCCCTCAAGAAGCTGACTTGACTTTGATTCAAGTTAACAAGCGTGAAACCATCTTCGACCTTAACTCCATTACCTCTTACTGCCCATTGACATCGGAATAGAGGTACATAAAACACATTGTAATCAAGTAGTATGATATCAGTGACTCTCCCATAGTATGATACCAAATCAAACACTTGTGAAGTATCTTTAGCACTAGATCTACACATAGCAGTAGCCTCATAATAAACCCCACTATTCTGACTTTTTCTTTGAAGTGAGCTTGTGTGAAACTGTTGACCATTAACTATATACCCTGTATAAGACCTAGCACTACACCGAGGACCATAAGCCAACCACTTAAGAGTATCTTCATGTCCATTTGAAACTATTGGTATCTACCAAATGTAAAAAAAACAAAGAACAGTCAGAAACAAAAGGATATGAAAACCAGAATCATGAATGCATACCATTCAGATATATTATTACTTGCCTGCTCTTTTAACCAAGTAGCAAATTTCTGAGCATGCATAGTCCACAACAGTGATGCTTCACGTCTACATCTTGGATATGAGTCTTGTAGATATTGCAGGTGCATGCTTGAAAAAAAAAAAAAAAAATGAACAATTAGTCTCAGCGGATACCAAAGAAACAAATCGAGTAAGAAGATATTACAGAAACTTACTCCACATAAGGATCCAAGGCAGCAATATTCTGAATGACAGCAAGATGTGCTATATTTTTCTCCATTTCAGTGAGAGTAAATGAAGTGCCTGCGGATATAGGCCGACCTTCTAGAATAGAGATATTCTCATACTCTGTATTTCTATCCAGTTTTTCTTATACACTAGTTGACTTTTTCAGAAAATCACTACAAAACTGCACACATTCTTCTGCAAGGTAAGACTCTGCGATACAACCTTCCGGTCTTGCAGGATTTCTAACAAAGTCTTTCAGAACTTTCATGTACCTGCAAAGTATTAAATATAAACATTAGTAA